CCAGGGGTATGCATACCACAGGTTGAGAAACTATGTATTATAGAATGACTAATATACTCATTTAGATTTCTTTACTCCTATGAAGACTGAGTTAAAGCACAGGCTCATTAGGCAAGGCAGAACTAGTTACTGTAATCCAGATAACCTAACAGTCTATTTAAAATAATCTTGGAACCCAGTCTTATTGCTTAGTGATAATGCCCTGCATGAGTTTGAGCCTTATGCCACTGTTCTTGGGGAATGAAGGACAAACTCTCCTTAAATTGATTTAGGAAGGATAAGCATGCAGTCCTGCAGAGCAGAACATTAAGGACTCCTAAAGAGTGAAAAAAAGGTTAAGTGACAATTTGATGAGAATTCAGTAAAAAAAACCAAACCAAACCAAACAAAACAAAAAAAACAAGGAATGATTAGAGCTGTATGGAAAAGAGAAGGTTAAGAGGTGATTTGATAAGTCTATAGTAAGTCATCTGACCCCAGCACTCTGTTCTGCCCAGGACAGGGGGTCAGACTAGGTCTACTGAGGTCTCTTCCGACCCCCAAAAATCTATTAAATCTATAATCACCCACATAGTGAGAGGCCATCTGACACTATAGGGTACATTTATCAGGAGGACAAGGAATGAAATTCAGTGCTCAGAAGTCAAGTCAGCAAAATTCAAACTAAATAAAAGAAACACATTTTAACAGTAAAGGTAATTAATCATTCAAAATCTTACCAGGGGATGGGGGTAAAATCTCAAGCACTTAGAACCTACCATCAAGACTAAATTTTTAAGACATATCCTGTAGTTCAACCACAACTAGGCTAGACAAAGAAATGGTCTACAGTCTGTGTTACACAGAAAGGTGGAGTAGTCATAGTGGTTCCATCTGGCCTCATGAAACGAGTCACCCAACTCTTCACAAGGGGGGAAAAAAACCTGAAACCTCAGTAAGTGACTGAGCAGTTCAAGGCAAAAAGAGACGCCTGTGAAAATGCATATAGTCTTAGTACTATGGTTGCACAGGCGTTTTTTAAGTAAATAAGTTTTCTGCATTGGGGATCTGTAGTCCTAAAAGACAAATGCAACTGCTGTTCAACCCATTACCAAAAGAGCCAATGTAGCTCACAGACACTCAAGCACAGTAAGGAAAGTAGAAGTAAATTCAGTGAGTGAGCTGCACCAGTGATGCTCAACCTGGGTGCCATGAAACCCTCTGAAGTGTGCTGCAGGGTGCCACACAATATGAGCACTGTTAGGTGCGCAAACCCTTACAATTGACAAGACAAACCCAGAGATTTCAAACAGGAATCTGTAGCGTCAAAAGTTCTGTTGTGTTCCAAGTTCTCTGCTATAGAGAAACTACTTTATTACAGCATTTTCCTTGTGTACAGGCATCTTTTTATTCCCTCCCCACCCTCCCAAAAGCAATTGGAAACTGCAGTGAGTATATGCACGAAACACAGTAAGAGCAGTTTCCGCCTTACAGGGCAAAAGCAAAATAGAAGTCTGCAAGCAGTCATGGGGAGTAGACAGGGCCATCCCTACCTGCTGTTGCTCAGTTACTTATCACAAGAAGAGATTGGGCTCCCCCATCCTGCCTTCCACAAGCCAGGTGTGTGCTCTATTCCAGGTATGCTGTGCACAAGAACGTGGTGTTTTTCCATAGTCAAAAAGCAAGTGAAAGCCAAGACCTGGCACTTGCCAAGGCCCATCGGGACTCCAGGAGGTGAGAACCACTGAGCCAGATGCCACCACCACAAGTACCAAGTTATCCTTGGCACGTCTCCTGCTCGCTCCTACTGCCGTGTGCCGGTGAGGACAGGCCACAGGCGATCGCGGGGCACCGCTGCTGGCGCCTCGGCGACCGAACCGGGGTAAAAAGTGGCGCCTGCTGCAAACCCTCGGT